TTCAGATTTATTGGAAAAGGCTTGGAAGACGCACCAGTTCCGCTACAGTATGGATACACGATTTCTTGTAGTGAGTTCTAGTTCATTGCAATGGGAATTGAGGAAGTTACAGTCATCTGTGGCACCATCTGTTACTGACAGACAGAAAGGATTGCAATCAAAGCAGGACAGGAAACCAGTGATTTGTGCTGTTTTCCACAGGGAGGGGATCTCTGTCTGATGTGTCTGGAGCCCATCTACTCAACAGAATGCTCAACAGATTCCATTTTATAATTCCACTGTGTGCTGTATATTAATTAACTCTGTAAATTACAAACCGTTCATGAAAAAAAGAACAAAATAAGTCTCTCGCCTGTCTCCCCAAAGACCTAGGGTTCCACTCCTTCCTATATAGACTTGTATGTGCAATACTAAATCTCTAAGTCATATTCAGCATCTTTGTTCTGTCTACAGGAATGCTCATTAAACATCTTAGGACAGATTTAATTACCCGCTAACTGTGTAGGCACACCAGGTTGTAAACATTTACAAGGATATCCGTAATGACCTATCACGGCCATACACATGCTTCAGTGTGTTGATTCATCTTAATTAAAACATGAGCTTACTTAAGCTAAGCCTGCAAATCAACATCTTTGCTGTTCCCTTCATGGGAAGGACAAATTAAATAAGAAAATAAAGCTCATTTTTCATAATGAATTATGCAGTAACTTCTCTTGCCATCTTTTAACGAGTGCTCTAAGCATCGGTAAACCTCTTTAAAAAATCAAAACACCAACCGGCCTTACCGTTTGAATTAGTTTACCTGATTATCCAAAAGAGGTTTGCCAGATGTGAAGAATTGTTTAATTTGACAGTAAAAAGAGCTCTCATGAAAGCAGTCCTGAACATAATTCCAGGTGTTTCTTTCTTACCTAATTGCTAAAGGCTGGGTAATTAAATCAAACTTGCCTTATACTTCTTGTGTCATTTTTATTCATAGAAGTAAAAGTACACTCAGACTAAATCATCTAATTAAATAATAAAAATAATAATTGAACATGTTTAATGATAATTACATTGTCCTTTTGAATCAGATGAGGCATAGGATAAATCAGATAAGTGTCCTAGCAGTCCATTCCAGAGCATTTTGAGATGCCAAATGACCTGTTCACCCAAAGAAAACCCAAGAAGATGCAGGGGAAACATGCAAACTCCACACAGAATGGTTTCCAGTCCAGACCTGAACCCAGAACCCATGAGCTGTGAGGCAGCAGCACTAATAGCATTACCCCAGCTAAAAATATGCTTTTGGAATATCATTAAGTTAGACTGCACTTTTAATTATTGAGCAAAAAGCATATAAAGTCAGAAATGCTTAACAAGGAATCACTGTGAACTAAAGCCATCTTTTTATTTAAAAAACATCTCACAGAATGATAAGTTCCACCAAAGCAAATCATTAAGAACAGTAATGGAATTCACTTCAAGTGCTTCGAACACCACGCCGACATTAGTACAATTACACTCACAATCTTCAAGTAAAACCAAAATGCAATGCTTTTTACAAGGTCACTTATTCAAAGCTGCATATACTTATACTGTGCCTTGCAGAATCATATTCAGACTCTTGCACAGTTTTCACATTTTGTAAGCTTTAAAGTTTGCAGTCATGATACTTTGAAGATGCAACTGATACTTGTTATAGAAAAGATCAAACCCATTCTAAATGTTCCGCAGCAAAACACAAAAGAAAAAAGTACACACAGTAGATAATTAATATGAAAGAAAAAAAAAGGTAAATTCATGACTGTGTAAATATTTAAGCCCTCTGCTGTGCAAGACTAAATTTGGGTGCACGAAATTGCCTTAAGGAGCCAAACAATGAGTTGAATGGCCTCTGTCTGTCTGCAATATTAGTGGTTCACATTATTTCAGAAGGTTGCTCATGAAGACATGGAAGGCACTCAGACACTGCTGATACTGCCAAAATCAGGCTCTTCCTCCAAACTGAGCAGCAGGACAAAGAGGAAACTGATCAGGAATGTCACTGTGAATCCTAAATCATATATTTGACTGCTCCTCTATGGGTCCATCCCTATGTCTAAGCTTGCAGAGCACTTGCTGTATAAAACACAACACTTTTCTTGCGAATAGGGGATCAGGCGGGCGAAACCCTTGCTGTCTGATATCTCATATGGAGTCATACTCAGGTCCAATTTATAAGCCAAAGGAAATTAATAACCAGTTTAATGACAATTATTCAGAGCTGTACAAAGCAAAATCAGTCTAAGATCCCTCATCAATCGATGATGTTATGAATAATTTTCATGTTCCCACTATAAATCCGAATTAATCTTTTCTGGAGTTCTGAAGCTTTTAACTCTTTGTCAAGCTACTACAACATTGCTGCTGAAGTAAGGTAAAAACCTCCTTCGTTGTAACTATCGCCCTATTTCCCTTATCAATGTGGATGTTAAGATCCTTGCAAAGGTTCTAACACTTCAACTGGAATCCATTCTCCAGTATCTCAACTGGAATGTCATCGTGAGGCCCACACAGACTTTGGAAAAGTTATGGAGTTCAGTGCCAGAGCTGGGATAAAATGTCCATGAGTTCATAATATGCTAGTCAATCTACAACAGGAGCTTGTATGGAACTTAAAAAACACATTCTGCATGGGGTTTGAAGAAGAGCACCTAAGCAATAATGCAAACAATTGGCAAAAGGTTTTGTGGTCAAACAAGACAGAATTAAAACGTTGTCTAAATGCCAAGTGGTACATGTGACACAAACCTAATATAATGCATCTCTCGGTCAGCACTATCTCTACCTTGAAGCAGGATGGAGGCAGCATTGTGTTACAGATCTTCTTCTCATTAGCAGGGACTGGGGGAACTGATATGAACACAGACAGAGATAGGTTCCCAAGTACTGGTAAATGGTAGAGGATAACCTGATTCCGTTTTAAATTTGGGTCAAAAAGTCACCTTTTTTTGCTGGACAATGATCCAAATCACAAAGGCAAAGCTACAGTGGAGTGGCTTAAGAATAAGTGAATTACTTTGAGAGGCCAATTAAAGTCCACACCTGAATCCTATGGAGAATCTGTGGAAATACTTGCAAATTGCTGTTTGCACAGCAAGTGATCCTAACCCATCTGAGAAGAGCCTGAGCAAATCTACCAATAAGAACGAGCGTAGCAGAGCTGGTGGCAGCGCGATGACATCACCGCCCTCCCTGCGCATAGCAGACCCGGGTTGGTGCCCAGGTAGCGAGGCACAAACCGGCGGGGTGGAGCTGCAAAGGCAGGAGCCTGCGCAGAACCGCGACGGTCACACACGCAAACATCGCTTCAAGCTGGTGTGCAAAGGTGGTAGAGACATACCAGAAAAACTTGTGGCTGTAGTTTCTGCCCCAGGTACTTCCACCAGATATTGAGTGCGAAGGTCTGAATAGTTATGCAATAAACATATCTCATTTTCTTCTCTTTTTGACATTTACTGTAACTTTATGTAACTACCCTTAGAAGCCTTCAGTGTGAGCATTCCTGTTTTGAATGATTATAAAATTGGACACCATAGGAAGGATGTGGATGCTTTTACAAGTTCATGTACTCTCTTATTCTGCTCCCACAAGGTTTAGAAGTAGCGGTACTAAATTGTGATGAAAATGTGTTTTTTTTTACATTTCTTTGTTAGATACTGGTACGATATTTCTGCAATGTGCAATATGCATAAACACATAGTAAAAAGGTTTTTGGTGAAATTAATTTAAAATGAAAAATTACAAATGCAGAGTTACGTTCGTAAGGCTGAGCACGCTAGACAAGAACGGGGCGCACGCAAAGGAATCGAAGACGCAAATCATAGGCTAATGAATTAAAAATGAAAAAGATGACTGCTTATGGAGAAGGAAAAAAGAAGAAAGATCGGATCTAGGTTTTACTCGATTCGCTTGCGGGTGTATTTCTCCATTTAAATCAACAGGTTTAATTCCAAAGGCCCTTTAGGATGAGTAAAGCTTTAAAGTTTATAACGGGATTTTAAATGACTACAACAGGAACTTCGAGACTGGCCAGTCGCCATGAGAAAAAGTTTCTCCTTGTTCGTCTCTACCAGCGGTGGTGTGTGACATTGAACCTGGAACATCAAAGACTCCAGTCAGGCCTCAATAAGAGAGGGATGATGAAAGATGACGTGGTACTTATAGAGGTTTGTTTTCAGCAACAGAAACCAAGAGGCGTTTACAGATTTGTTTATGCAACCTTTATAAATTGACCTATTCTTAATAAAAGTCGAGCTTAAAGGACGAAATCCATCCATGTGACACTACGAATAGAAACTTTTAGAGTACCTGTTTGATTGCTTCAGACGCTGGGAATAAAGCAACGATGTTGTTGGGGTTTTTTTTCCTCTCTGGCACAGCGCTACTCTTCAACCAGCGCTTTGACAGGGGGGGAAAAAACGCTCTTCAAAGACAACAAGAAAATACAACGCATCACACGCCTCAATACCCGCGGTCGGCGATCACCGATGAGTGACTTCAACGACAGGGGCGTTAAATGTAGGGCACAGCGCTGCGCTTTGCTCACACATCATCACTCAACACAGCCCCCCTCAGCATCAGAACAGCACGGTCGCCCACCCCCCTGTCTACACAAACACACACACCCCGCCTCCACGGAAAACCACCCCCAGACAAAAGCGCACCAGCTCAAGGAGGCCCCCAGCTCCCAGAGTTCGCCCAGCAGTACGCTCGCAGGGTTTCATTATGCAGGCAACATCCAGCACCAAATGCACTAAAAAAAAAAAAAGGCTGGGAGGCGAAACTGCACAGCGCGCCTGCTTGTGGGGCCGTTGTCGTGTCGCCCCTCCGCCGTGCGAGACTGAATCAGTACCAATCACTTGGTCCCTGCAGACTTCGCGATTCCGGGATACAACCCCCCCCAAAAAAAGAGGCAGGCAGCAGTGTCGCCGCTCGCAGCCAGTATGAGAGAGCATTGGTCGGGCACCACTCACCTTGCCGAAACAGGCCATTCTCAATCGCTCCCTTCAGTCACTTCGGACAGCCAGCGCAGGAGTGAAACGTCTTGCTGGTCGGGCAGGTCCACGGTGCCCAGCGCGGCGAGGTTTGTTTTCTCTCCCGACTTGCACTAAAGCCGTGCGTGCATGCCCAGCGCTGTCACGGTGCGCATTCCCATAGGTGGAAACATGGATACAAAGGTACCGTTAAGATTTTTTTTTTGCTCATAGCGTCCCAGCGTTTGTAGCTTACTGGCTGCCAAGTCAGGCTCGTACCGCCTCCCGTGTCATGTGACGGGTTTTTGATTCCTGATTCCTGATGCTTCAATGTTGCACAAGCGGCAGCCCTTCAGCGCTACAGTACGTCTCCTCCCTCTGTTAGGGCGCCTGTCCTAACTTTTCACCCCCGACGCGGTTTCGTATCTTTGCCCTCTTAGTTGTGAGTAGACAAGGGGAAGACCTGGGTTACGCAACAGCTGCAGCTCGACCGTGGCCGCTCAGAGCTGGAGGTGAGCCTGGGTATCGTTTATGTGATGCCAGGAGGGTCATTGCACAGCCTCGGTGGGTGACGTACCCGACAGGTGCCGGTTCTCCTGCGCCCAGTTCGGGGTCGGGGTCTCACGCTCAGTCCCAAAGGGGTTTCTCAGAAACAGATTTAGCCAAATAAAAAATCTCCTAAAGTGGGATCCCCACTTGATCCATGTGTTGAAATGTCTGTTTTAGAACAAGAGGGCAAAAAGTGCACGTGGTATATAAATGAGGTATTACCACTGCATTGTGTAATTTCCACAGATTTCAAATCTCTGCTTCATACTACAGTATATTTTCTCTTTTTTTCTTTACGGGCAGTTTCTTCAAGCTCAGTTTCTCACATTTTACATTTAACGTTACATTTTTATTGCCTGCATGTAGTAACACTGTGTACAGTACGTCTATGCATTGAATATAATCTCCTCGGTGTCTGTCGAGTCCTCAGCCTTCTTGATCTGCCTTTCCTGCACCTACAGTGCTCTGAGCTTGTCCTGTTCCTGTGTCATCTGCAAATTTAACAAGTTTAGTAGCATACCAGAATACACAATAGATCGTTTGTATTAATGAGGTGATAACCCACTGAAATCATTAGTACTAATACTATTAATATTAATGCCTGAGATTGCCTGAGGGTTTGTTCTAATGAGGTGGAACATAATCTTTAAACAGAATTTTGCTTGACGCATGTTACAGTGATCTAGTTATTTGCATCCATTGCGATGGCTGGAGGAGTCAGATGAAATGAGGGGCAAAAAAACAACAAGAGCAGCACGGCAACATGGGTACGCCCAGTCAGAGCAAATCCAGTCTGAAACTCCTACAAATCAATGTAACAGGACAACTGTCCTCGATTTCCAAGTGGGCTGAGCTGGCTGAATGAACTCCTCTCATTTGTAGCTATTTTTCTTATTTCAAATTTCTTCAATATCATCTCCATTGCCTTTTTAAAAGATCTTTCCCATTCCATTCCTTCCTCAAGGGTTCTGGGCATGTAAGTTGGTTTCATGAGACATCTAGCCTATAATTTCACAGATATTTGTGTGAGGTCATTTTCTTGCGTGACGCAAATCTAAAAACCCCTTGGGCTAGAGGCACTCTTTTTCTCACTGCAGAGCGTTTGTAAAAGGCTTGTTTGTACATTGTTCTGTGACTATACACAGACCTCTTGGTCTGTGCTTATTTGTATGTGGTGGATATGGTGCTGATTTGTATGTGGCAATTGTGGACCACTGGGATAATGGACACTACAGTTAAAGTAAATTACATATAGTGAATTCTGTTCTCGTAAGCTAAGTTAAAGAATTATTGTTACATCAAAATATCACTCACAGACTAACATATCTTATCTACTT